GCTCCCCCGATCTGCCTAAATGCGTCTATGTTCGCGCGAATCATTCATGATCCAGCCTCATCTACAGAAGAAGTGAGTATAATGTTTTGTAATAAATCTTTGCAAATCGCCTTTCCTAATAATGTGCTAATTAGCAAGTTTCACGATGAATGCGGTTAAAGTAAACAGTCTCTCTGAGAGCAGCTTGGAAGAGGGGGCGGAGTCAGCAGAGCTCATTAACATTTAAAGGGAAATTCTACAAAAACGGCTTGATCTGAAAAGAGCTGTTTTTGACAGGGTAAAAAGGTGTTTTTTACACTACCATTGAGAAATTTTAACCAAACTATGTTACAGACTTTTCATTAAGACCCTAAAGAATCATATCAACTTGTGGAAAATAGGCATCCTATGACCCCTTTAAGAAAGCAAATGGGGTCAATTTAGATTTGATGTGGACTGTAAACCCGAACAGATCATCTGTCTCTGGGGTTTTCCTGCAGAACTTATGGTCAGGGATGTTTTTGTGTGTACAGATGAAAGTAGATTTATCTAGTCACTGATTATAAACCTAACAGACCACTCAGATCATTAGGATCGAGTCAGTTAGAAATACCAAGGGTTCACACAAAACAAGGGGAGTCCGCTTTTAGTTATTATGCCGCCCGCAGTTGGAATCAGCTTCCAGATGAGATCAGATGTGCTAAAACATTAGCCCCATTTAAATGCAGACTCAAAACTCATCTGTTTAGATGCACATTTATTGAATGAACACTGTGCATTGTCCTAACTGATTGCACTATATTTTATGTACTGTATAATCATTTTCTGTTCTTAACTGTTTTAAATTCATTTTAAACTTCTTAAATCAATATTTAAATCATTTTCAAAGTTTTTAAATTCCTTGTTCTATTGTTGTGATTATTTTTTTATTACCGTTTTCTTTTCCTTTATGTAAAGCACTTTGAATTACCATTGTGTATGAAATGTGCTATATAAATAAACTTGCCTTGCATTGCCTACAGCGCTTGTGTTGGATTTCCTATTTTTAACTGTTTTAAATTCATTTTAAACCTCTTAAATCAATTTTTTATAATAATTTTCAAAGTTTTAAATTCCTTGTTTTATTGTTGTGATTATTATTTTTTTATTATTATTTCATTTATTTTATGTAAAGCACTTTGAATTACCATTGTGTATGAAATGTGCTATATAAATAAACTTGCCTTGCCTTGGTCAGCTCTGGGTTAGTGTCTGCAGAACATCAGCTGATCGCTCTGAAGCTCCCGCGGTGGATGCTGTGTGTCTCATCATGAGCTGTTGTGTAGTGCAGTGCAGATCTCTCTCTCTCTCTCTCTCTCAGTGACAGAGCTCCATTAGGATGATGGGAGTGTAATTATCTCCTCTCCGCTGCTCTCTAACACCAGCAGTCAAACTCAGCACCTGGAGAAGAGCGTTTATGAACTCAGCAGTGAAGCAGGAACACCGAATGATGTGCAGAGATTTTACACCTTGCAAATGTAACTATTTGGTTTTCTGAGACATTTCGAACATTGTTGCTGTCAATGTTACTGAAAAATATATCAACATTATCTGGCTGGTTGAAAATTAACCAATATTGTAAATGTGACAAATCAGTTATGCCATCATTTTCCAGGAGAAGGGTTAATGCAGTGTATTTCTGTGATAGAGTTAAATAGTTTTAAATTTAAAACAGTATTTTAGTTGCAATAAAAATTTATAAATATATTAATACATATATAATTGAAAATTAAAAACAGTATTTTTTTGTATTTTATGAAAATAAAAAAATATTTATCTATTATTGTAAATCAAAAGCAACATTTTGTATATTCATATACAATTTATATACTTTGTATATTGATATTTTCCATTACACTTGTAAAATTCTATAATATATATATACATTTTTACACACACAGCTTTGAATATTGAAAAATAATGCAGACAGATGCTTGAAATGACTGAATATTATCCAATGTTAACAATATTTTTAATATTTTATATTATATATACCTTATATTATTTATGATTATTATTATTTAATATCATTTTATTTTTATATGATGCAGTGTTGTAAAGTAAAATGATCTTGTTTTAAGGATTTGTAGATATTTTAACTGGAAAACAAGACAAAAATATGAATATTAAAAATAGGATTTTATGTAGTATATACAATTTTTTTCTAGTTTTCATTTGTGCTCAGTTGTATTGGCATCCACCCTGACTAAAGTTCCATAAAACGAGAATACAAACATGATTACAAGAATATTTTTACGGAAATACTGAGCTATTAAAACTGGTACTAGTATCTATTATATTGAGAAGTGATACAGAACAAACAAACGCACAGTACTTTGAGTCTGGGAGAGATGCTGATGTGTGTCTGTTCAGAGCTTTGAAGTCACAGTCGCTGTATAATTCATGACTGCAGATCAACCACAATCCCACACATCCACAAACCACAGCATCTGTGCTCATTTTTATGCTTTATGAGCTACGATATTATAATACTGTATGTGTTTGCATTGGCAGCTTTTATTTTGATTTTCAGATGTTCGTATCACAGACTTTCAGAATTGTTGATTGTAACTATATTATCACAACTTGACCTGATGTGAACTAGGCCTAGATGTTTGTATTTTGCTAGAATGTTTTGAAGTGGTTGCCAGGACGATGCTGTGTGGTCGCTGGGGTATTCTGGTTGGTTGCTAGGTTTCTAAGCTAGAAGATGCCTAATTGTTTACTAAGAGGATACTGATGCAGTTATGTACGTGTGTGTGTGTGTGTGTGTTTTGTGCAGGTACGATGTACTTTAATGTTGGTTGGATCCCTAGAGAGGAAGAAATTGAGAGTATCCTCACACTAATGAGCTCTCTCTCTCACTCACTCGTTCTCTTATAAATCAGAACTGAGTCAGGTTGAGGGGGAGGGGCTTAAGAATAAGAGGGATTGATGAGATCATCTGAAAAGGAAGGTCGTTTTAGAGGCGTGGCAGATTGTTATATTTTAATGGGAGTCGAGCATTTCTCTGTGGAATATCATGCACTGATCAGTCATTCACAGTAAGACCGGGACAAAGTCAAAAGTCCGTTTTCATTTCATGTTGACTCGGTGAGTGTTTCTGAATGGCGGCTGCTGTTGAGTTATTTTCTCTTCTCCCGCACTGGATTTCTAGAAATGGTCAGCTGGATTAATTTTCTGACTCAGGTCTTGCCGTCCAGAGCTAATGGGAGATTAGCCTGCTAGTTTATTCTGCTGTAAGTCTGAGAAAAATGCTGTTCATCAGACTGTGAACTTCACTGCTGATCATTCAGCATCACATATTAAATTCAGCTTTAAAAAATTAAAGAAATTAATACTTTTATTCAGCAAGGATGCATTAGACTGATCAAAAGTGTCAGTAAAGACATTTATAATGTTAGAAAGGATTCCTATTTCAAATAAATGCTGTTCTTTTGAACTTTCTGTTCATCAAAGAATCCCGAAAAATAAAATGTACCACGGTTTCCATAAAAATATGACGCAGCACAACTGTTTTCATTGATACTAATCAGAAATGCTTCTCAAGCAGCAAATCAGCATATTAGAATTATTTCTGAAGGATCACGTGACACTGAAGACTGGAGTAATGATGCTGAAAATACAGATTTAATCACAAAAATAAATTACATTTTAACAAATGTTCACATAGAAACCAGTTATTTTAAATTGTAATAATATTTCACAATATTACTGTGTTTACTGGATTTTTGATTAAACAAATGCAGCATTGGTGAGCAGAAGAGACTTATATCTTGAAAACAGATCATTTTTATTCATTTTTCCCCCCAACTGGACTGAATAAGTCAAAAGTGAAATAATTAAAAGTATTTCTTTTAATTCAGTTGACTCAGTACAATCTAAATACTCAAATCTCTCTGTAAGATGTATTTCATTGTTTTGAAACAAAGTTCGAAATGTATATTAGGGAAAGTTTGCCATCTGTTGGTATTTATAGGTACTACAATGAAAGGAAACATGCAGTTAGAACTGTTAAGTGATGTGATTGTGTTCCTCACTACAAATAAAATGATCTTTTTTATCTTCTACATTAAAAAAAAAATACTACTGAAATAATTTTCACTAAAAAATTGCTAGTATATTTAACAAATAATTACAAGGAAACAGTAACACATTGAATTTGTAAGTAGAATGGCTGAAATGGTATTTTCTTCTAAAACATATTCAAATAATGTTTGTTTTATTTACATTTTGAGTATATTTCTGAAGACTTACAAAGCCAAAATGTCCTTATGTCTCTTACTGTTTATGTTGTTTCTTTTAAGTGAGTTTTGTTTTGAAATCATCTGCACGTCTAACTTTCTCTCATTCCCTCTTCTAGGAATTGGCAAAAACGTGATATGCGACCGAACGGCGACGCCGCTCGACGCTTTCCGCATGATGTCAGCAGCCCAGTACTATCCAAAGCTGCTCAGCATCATGGGTAACGTGCTGCGCTTCCTCCCTGCCTTCGTCCGCATGAAGGAGCTGCTGGAGGAGGGTTACGTGGGCGAGCTCCTGGTCTGCGAGGCGCAGGTTCACGGCGGGAGCCTCCTCGGGAAGAAGTATAACTGGAGCTGCGACGACCTGATGGGCGGCGGCGGGCTGCATTCGGTCGGGAGCTACATCATTGATTTGCTCACGTTTCTAACGGGTCGGCATGCGGTGAAGGTGCACGGCTTCCTCAAGACGTTCGTCAAGCAGACGGACCACATCTGCGGGATCCGGCAGATCACCAGCGACGACTTCTGCACCTTTCAGATGGTGCTGGAAGGAGGCGCTTGTTGCACGGTTACGCTCAATTTTAACGTCCCGGGTGAGTTTCGGCAGGAGGTTGTGGTCGTAGGAACGTCCGGCAGGTTGACGGTCTGCGGGACGGATTTGTACGGACAGAAAAACGACGGCGAAAGCGGCCAGGAGCTCCTCTTAAAGGACAACACGCCTGTCGGAAACGCGTCCCTACCGGACAAGGCGTTCCGGGACATCCCGTCTCCGTATCTCACCGGCACCATCTGCATGGTTCAAGCCGTACGGCAGGCGTTTCAGGATCAAGACGACCGGCGAACGTGGGACGGCCGGCCGCTGACGATGGCCGCGACTTTTGAGGACTGTCTGTACGCGCTTTGCGTCGTGGACACGATCAAGAAGTCCAATCAGTGCGGCGACTGGCAGAACATCGTGGTGATGACAGAGGAACCGGAAGTCAGTCCTGCGTACCTGATCAGCGAGGCCATGCGGCGCAGCCGGATGTCGCTGTACTGCTAACGTAGGGCTGGACGATATGGCCAAAATTTATATCACGATATATCTCTTCATTTCGTCGATACGATATAAGGGGCAACTACAGTAACATCTTCTGATTTCTCTCAACATGGGGACAGGAGAGCTGTCAGTCAATAAATTGGAAAAAAAAAAGTAACTTGGGTTACTTATTTGAAAAAGTAACTCAGATATTCTCTTGTAAATTAAAAAGTAATGCGTTACTTTACTAGTTACTTGAAAAAAAGTAATCTGATTACGTAACTCACAGCGTGACCTCCTATCTGAATTAAAATAACATACATTTAAAACTGCAGCGCTGCAGGAAAGTGGAGTAGATTGTATGTTTTTACATTTTAGATGTATTATAATTTGTTACGTGTTGAATTTAAGTTTTTAAAAAGACGCTGCACAGTGTGACGTCATATTGCGAACGTTACAGCATGCGAAACAATTTTGCATGCTTAAAAGTCTAGTGTGACCGCGGCTATAATTACGATATTGATATGAACAATTAGAGCTCATGAACGCTACTTTATTAGATAAAATGAAAATGAAGACAGTCGGTTCCCTTCAAAGATACAGATACGTTTTGATTTTGAAACGTGCAGTGCTCATGTTTATTCAACGAAGTTGTGGCGGACTGCCACAAATAAATCAATGTATGGGAAACACTGATAATGTATATCGGAAATGTGTTTAAAATTCATATCACCGTTATTGAACAAATATATCGCGATATATATTGTTATTTAATAATTGTCCAGCCCTATGCGGCACGTGAGCGAACGTGCATTCTTGCATATTGATTTCAGTGCATTCGGAGCATTTGGAAAACTGGAGATGTACATGCAACTGAAGGAAACATGCGTTTGTGCCTCATGCAAGGAGTTTGGCTTGTGTTTTAATGCGTTAAAACATTAGCTTCTGGGAGTTTTTGTGTCAAGTATGCAATAAATCTGCTTTCGGATGAAACAACAGCCACGCTTTGCTGAAATGCCTTTGTACTTGTGACATGTTTGTAGTTAGTGCAAAGAACAAACATGCAGTTTGACTTTGGTTTGCAGGATTTTTTTCAATGTTGTCTATCTGTGCAACCCAGACACCAGACAAGGTCGCTGCAGCAAATGTCAGCATGTGTTTGCATGCTAGCGTGAGCATAGCGAACACGGACTCCTGCGTCAAACCATGCCTGCAAATGCATGAAATCTCCACTCGCACTGTAAACAACAGGATTTTGCTATGTATTATGAGATCGAGCTGGACAAACACAAAGATGTTTCTGCTTTGTTCGTACTGTTATATTTAAAATCCCAATGTTTGTGCGTTTTAACTGGTATCTTGATTGTCATGGCTGTAAGTGTGGCTTTACGGTCCTTCGTTTTCCACCTGAAAGATTTTGAATTGTAAATCTGCCAAATATGAAATGGCAAACGTCACATTAACTGTAAGTGGTTCTCAACTGGTTTTGCTCCAGAATCCGGATTTTACATTAGACATCATGTGGTGACCCAAAAGTACACAAAAATCTCCTTCAAATCAAACACTGAAATGATATTATACACTACAGGTCAAAAGTTTTGAGTAAGTTTTTATACTTTCAAGACCTATTATTAATAATTGAGCACCAATGATAATTGAGCAATAATAATGAGTTTAGAATGATTTCTGAAGGATCATGTGACAACACTGGAGTAATGATGCTGAAAATTCAGCTTTGATCACAGGAATAAATTGCATCTTACAATATATTCAAATAGAAATTGGTTAATTGAAATTGTAATAATATTTCACAATTTGACTGTTTTTACTGTATATTTGATCAAATAAATGCAACTTTGGTGAGCAGAAGAGACAAAGAACATTTCAAAATCTTGATTATTCCAAACTTTTGACTTGTAGTGTATATAATATTGATGTATTATAAATTAAATTGAGCATGAGCTGTTTAGTCCCAAATATATGCAAAGTTATTAACATGATAGAAAAACACATTTGTAAATGCTCAAATAATAGTAGAAATTTTATCTGTACATGTATTTAATGTCATCTGAGTTGTATTTTCGTTTACCTGATGTAGTTTTTTTTCATGGTTTTTGGTGTCAAGCAACCTTTTTCTGTCTAATTTGATTCTCTTCTACCAAATGACAGATGAATTGGTTGAAATATAGAGTTTGATTGGACGAATGAAAGAAAGATACATTTTCCTTTTAAGCCTGTTTGACTTTTATAGTTGCATTTTTGAATTTCCAATTGCAAAACAGTAAGTTGAGAACCGCTGCTTAAGACTGTTGCAGAGCGTTGCACTTCTTTGAGGGCTAGTAAATGCCTTTTTAAGCCTGAAAAATATAAACCAAAATGCTTCAGACACGCTAGAGGTGCTAGAGATCTTTCAGTCTGAAGATGTATTGGTGTATATCTAGTTTAGGAGACATAATTCATATTTAAATGCAGTTGTCACTGGAGATGCCAATTATCAAGAGTAGGAAATGATGATTAACGTACAGAAAACATTTTAAAATCAGATTTTTGAGTCCATATGTTTTGCCAAGCTCAATTCTGCAGTGTTTTATTTGTTGACTAGGATCTGTTCGCTGTATGCATGCACTAAAGACAGGTGTGTCGGCGGTCGTCCATCACTGTGCAACTTCTCCTGCGTCACGACGGCTTTATTTCAGCCTCGTGATGAAAGACTGGAGAGTCCAATCATGTGGCTGTGTTTTATCCGTATTTTATGCTGCTTGGAGAAACACCTGCTGTACATTACTGGAAACATGCTCTGTGTAGTTTATAAATGGTATTTATTTCCTAATAAAATCAGGAAGTGTGTGTACTGTGAGACAGGAAATAGAGGCATTTGCTTGTGCATTTCTACAGGAAGTGTGATGTCACAGTTTAAAAGTCCCAGACTAAACCTGTCCTGGCTTCCCTCACAAATGTGATTCATCTCAGTGTCGCCGCTCGACTGAAACCAACACTTGGTCAAGGTAATAGAAACACATCTTCAAGGAAAAATCATCTCTGTTGGACAAGAGAATATTTAACATCATGCTCTCTCAGGCCTGTTTCGCAACTTACACAGAAGCAGCATGTCAATACGGCTACTACATTTAATATTTCTGCTAACAAGAGGCATAAACTGAACATTGTTTTGTAATTGAGTGAGCAATTACATACTCGATCATAATGGAATGTAATTTACATGAGGACGCAGATCACATTTACATAAACAAGCCAAAGCACAAACTCTAGCTTTAAACTGCTGCAATCATCTGGATTCAGTGAAATAAATACGCTGTGAAACAGGCTTTTTTGTTGTTTAATATTTTGCAGAAGGTAAATTTATGTAGTGATAAAGTGATCAACATCAAAGCCACATGGATTCATGTTAGCGTTATGAGTGTTGCTATGGACATAAGTCCGAGGAGGTTAAAAACTGAAGGGTTGTCATTTCATAATTATGGTAATTATGACATGAAATTACACAGCACAAGATACACTGTATGGAAGCCCAATTCTGCCATAAAAGAAAAAAACATACTTAAAAAGTGACAAAAAGTTGAAAAAATTAGATAATAATTCTGAAGTCAAAATTGACGTCAAATTATGGCAAAAAAAAAAAAAGATACTTGTGAGATAATAGGTCATTATGATCATTATAAAGTCGAATTTATTACAGAGCCAATTATGAGATAACGTCAAAATTATGACATAAAAAGTATTTTAATGTCTATCACAATTTCAACGTTTTTATCATTTTTATCTCATATTTTGACTTTTTGTCATTGCTATGTCTATTTTTGCCATACTTTAGAATTAGTATTTCATAATCTTGAATTATGTCATAATTTGATGACATCATAATTTTAACTTTTTTGTCATAATTATGACTTTCTGTCTCATACTTTAGACATGTCATTTAGGATTTTTGTCATAGTTTGACTATCTCATAATTTCAGCTATGTGTCTTAATTATGACTTTGTATCTCAATTTTGACTGTCATAATTATGACTTTTTGTCTCATAATTTTGACTTTGTGATAACTGTATTTATGTCATAGTTTAGACTTAGTATTTCATAATTTTGAATGTTTGTCATAATTCAACTATATAGTAATATCGTAAATTCGTATGACTATCTCATACTTTAGCGTTAATATATCAATTTAGAATTTTAGTCATAGACTTATAATTTTGGCTTTTTGTCATGACTTCTTATCTCATTATTTTGACTCTAAATTAGTATGTCAACATTTAGATTTTTTTTCCTCATAATTTGACTCATAATTTAAAATTTTATCATGATTTTGACTCTTTATCTCACAATTTTACCTTTTTATGTCATACGTTTGACTTTTTTCCCCAACTTTTAAAAATATGATTATTTTTCTCATGCCTTCCACAAATTGTCACTCAGACCTCCAGAGATGATTTTTCTGTGATGTGAGACATTAAGGCTGCAATATAAATAGGGCTTGATTTTTATAATTTTAAAACACATAAAATAGCTATGTTGTTACATCACTGACAGCGATATAGAACTGTTTCTGTCCGAGATTCAAACTTCAGTGAGTCTGTTGAGAATGCTGTTGTAATGTCAGTCAGCAGATATGAGAGGGACGTTTGGTCGTCTTCGAAGGTGTTCATCCCTGATTTAACATGAACACACTGGAGTCAAATGCCGACTTTACTGTAAGCTTGAACTTGCCTGTTTCTGAACAAAACTCAACGATAATTCAACTGCAAACTTGAACCTGTGAAAAAACGTTACAACTGGAAATGTTTCAATGTAAGACCGCGCTTGTTCGTGAATATGTTTGTGAATATGTACTGTATACTCTTCCTGCTGGGCAGCATGTGTAAACACATGTGTGTGATGGAGACTGATTAAAGAAGGGATTCAGCAGAACAAGCCTGTTTGAGTCTATTATTGTAATATAGGTCCACATTTAGTGCCACTGACCATTAGTTTTGAAGTGTGTCTTATGCCGCAACATTTCATTCCCTGCAAAATCTTGTTTGGTTTCTGCTTTTTGTGCTGTGCTTTGTATATGAAGTCGACTTTGGTGGTTTT